GACCAGATAGGAAGTAAAGAATGTGAAGCCTGGGTGTCGACCAGATAGCAGTTCATTGTCACCTCCTCAACCAAGAGATGACTCCCCGGTAGAATAACAGACGACTGAGGTTCTATTTCTACCACGACAGAGACCAACATTCCCCCCCGACGTAGTTCTCCTTGATAACAGGTATACGGGCTCTCGCAAAGGAATCTCTTATGCGATCAACATTCTTGGATGGCATCTTTAAGCCCATCTCCAACAAGATTCAATCACATCGTCCTTCAGGAATTCATTCTGAATTCTAAGAGTTCCTCTTAAACAAATCCAAGCCCTGAATTATCATTCCTCTCCAGGTAAACCATTTACAAGAGCAGAATGGTCATTTGCAAGCTCAAAAGTCAAAAATTTTACCTTGAAAAAAGTTAAATTCTATATGCTTAGAATTTTTCTCTAAAAAAAAGAGAGGAGTGTTTAAGAAAAAATGGCACTTTAGAACTTCTGAACCAACCTCCAGGCAGAAACGGTCAGAAGTTGCAAACTTGGTTCAGCACATAACATTCAGTCAGAAGGTGGCTCTTCAGCAGCTACAACAACTCAGTTAGGGGTTATAAACGTGGTTCAGCACGTAATCTTTAAACAGAACATGGCTCCTTCAGCAGTTACGCAAGTTCATCCAGAGCTTGCTAAAGAAATGCAAAGAAGATAACAAAGCCTGAAACTCCTTCAGAATATACTGGGATCAGAAGGTAATGGGATTAGTAGATTGGGTATAATACTGAAGCAGAATCTCTAAGTCCAGAGTTTTCAGAGGCAAATCAAAGGAACATGCTGGAAAGTCTGGAAAACTCTTAGAATTTACTGAGGTAGCAAGAGACCAAGGTCAGAGCTTGGTCTACTTTAAATTTTTGGTAAAGTAGAACTGCTGGCTCAGGTTTTAGGTAATGATGCAAAATCTCCTATTACAAGATTTTTGATTTTGACAAATCTCATCACCATTTAATGCTCATTAATGCTCACAACCACTTTTGAGCATTCATCCAAGGGATCTCTCTACGTGTGGCATGGTAACACCCTCATGCAGGCTTAGGCATGGGTCTATGCGCCACTTTTCACCTATGGGTGTCACTTCTCCTTAATCATCGCCTACTGTTCCAACCTAGGATGAAAAGTTGTCCATCATCACAACTTTTCATGAACTCCCTTCAAGAACAAGTTATACTCTACTGCATAGTATTGGCGCCATTTAACGTTCAAAAATTTACAAAGCCTTGCATATAAATAGGACACCATTGTCCATTAAAAGGGTGGTAAAAAAAATCCAGAAAAACTCTAGCAAGAAAACTTTGTGAAAACTATGTCAAAATTCCTAGTGTTTCATAACTTTGAATTTCCTGCCTCCAAACTTCATTGATACCCAGTTTTCTCCTTGACTAAAGAACTCCCATACAGTTTCTGACCATACATACATATATCTTCTTCATCCACCCATTCTAAAAAGAACCTGTCTAGAACACCATCAGAGCTAAAGCTAGCTCCAACTCACAGATTTTCTTCCAACAGCAAGGTAAGAACCCGCTGACTCTCATCACGCTTCTAAGCATCATCAGCTTTGCATGCTCAATAAAGACAATGTAGATATCATGTTGTTGTTGTATGCGTTCTGAAGATTTTCATGCCTCTGAATGCTTAAGTAGGAAGTGGATCAGTGTAGAACCTGCCTGTGACCTTGTTGGTTCTGTCTTCTGAAACACTTTGACACTTGCTGAGGTTGTCCTAGGCATGCCTTCTGTTTTGTGGAAAAATAATGAAATTGCAGATGTTCTGACTAGTACAGGGAGAAACCAAGCGCTGACTTTGACGTCAGCATTTCTGAGGCCTGTTTTACCATCAATAATATCAGAACTTCTGAAAATTATTGTGTTTCCAGCAGGGTCAGGACTTCTGACTTCCCCACTAACAAACTTATGTCTTGCAGCGCATGGGGGTCAGAACTTCTGACCTTCCCACTAAAGGGTTTCTGTTTTGCAGGGCACCAGAGTCAGAAGTTCTGACTTATACATTTCCACTAACAGGTTGATATCCTGCAGCAGGCCTGGGTCAGAACTTCTGACTTCCTCTCAGCAGCGCGCTAGCCCTCTCTCTTTCTCTTTTTCTTCCCCTTGTTATCTTCTTTTTTTATCTATTTTTCTCGTTGAACCACCCCCATGTACAAGTGTGTATCCCCCACCCCCTAAATATTGTAATAGCGTAGGATTTTACATTTCCGCATTTTTATTGCTTTCAAATGTAAATGCTAGTAATTAGGATATGTATGGCAAGATAAAATCAATGAAATGGAAAATCCTAATTCAATATAAAATTATGCATGCAATAAAACACACTTGCACACCAACACCCTTAAGGTATCTCCACTTGGTTGCCTAAACAAATGGCCAAGGTATGCACGCTAGGTATCTTGGCAAAACAAAATCAAAACAAAAAGATCATAGTCCCTCGATGACGCTATCTTGGTTGCCTAAACAAAATGATCTAGTCCCTCAAGAATTGCTAAAGACACTTAGCACAATTGCTATCATGGTCAATACGATGACCCACGCCTGTCCCGTTTAACATCCTAATATGAGGTTGTTTACCAAATACAATGGTAAAACAACACTGTCAAAAGGGTTAAAAACGTATAGGAAAGATCTTTGAGTAAACTAGGGTAGACAACTCTTAGTTACTTGATCAAAACTTGCAAAACATCCTTGCTATTTTCAAACACACGTCACAACACAATTTCAAAACATTTCCCAAAAACAAACTTTCAAACATTGAAAAATCTTTTCAAAAGACAAATGCACCCTTGTATACATTCAAACAAGAATCATTACAAAGGTTGCCACAACGATGGCTTCTTTTCAAAACATTTTCAAAACCACACACACAAAGCACCATTTCAAACAATTGAAAAGCAAAAGCAAGTGATCTAAACAAGTAACTAAGAGCCCATGGAAAACCATGGATGAAAAGGGTTCTAGCACCTTCCCTTTTCATAATCTACCCCCCGAACCCAATAAAACATCTCAAAGGTTTTTCCTATACTTTTTGACCTTTCCTTTGGATAAAATAAAAAGTCGGTGGCGACTCTTGCTAAACCGAAACATTTGCAAACACAAACGCAAAATCCCAAGTCAGTTCTCCCACCGTATCACACCTACGTATCCCTTTTAAGGAATCAAAGCAGTTATAGTTCGGCTTGAAAAGTTTTAATGGTTTGTATTTTTTTAACGAACAATATTAATCTCGCCTTCTGCCGCAACTCGAACTTTGGAGATTTACGCGTCAACATATAAGTGAATTAGCAGGTTATTTTGAAAAAGGTTTGAAAGAAAATCCTGAAGGTGCAAAAGAGATTGCATTGGTTGGTATTTTTTACCTTAAAAAAAGATTTGAAAATTGTCAGATGTTTTATGCATTTGCTAAGAAAAAGAGTTTTAGTCTTAAAGCAAGGATGCCAAAAATGAGAAGAAAACATCTAAGGGAGACTAGCCTATCTCTATCCCTAATTTTATCATACAATGATTGATTCTATAGTTGAGTTTTGAAGGGAAATCTCTACCCCATGTTGACATGCTTGGATAACAATCCTAATGTCTATCTCAACTCATCATCTATAGATGAATCAAGAAGTCCTAAAGGAGCATAGCAAGGGTCTATCACCTAAAACTATGTATATCTCGAATCATCATCTATAGTTGAATCGAGAGCTTATAAGGGAACATGTCGAGGGTATATCATCTCAAAACATGCACACAAAGATAAAATCAAACAAGCAAGCCAATAAGCTCAAGAGATCTACCTCAAGAGAGCATAACTAGAGATATCCTACCTAGGCTAGCATACCAAAGAAAGTCTAACAAAACTATCCTACAGGGAACATGCAATGAGAGCGAAGTCGTGATCTCAATTTCTAAATTGAGTGACTCATCGATCAACAAGAGATAAAGGAAAGAAATGAAATCCTATAGGGAGCATGCACTGAGAGCGAAGTCGTGATCTCAATTTCTAAATTGAGTGACTCATCGATCAATAACCAAGGAAACAAACACAAACACTACACATATAGCAAATGAAGTGTGAAATGCCTGCTACTGGTCTTTAAACAGCGACTTCGAGCGCACGCTCTTTATTTCCTACTTATCATGATATCTAGAAAGCAGTAAAGTGAAAAATTAGATAAACAAGAGAAAATACCAAACGGATATCAATCCGTAGCAAAGTCTATCAAAAATAAGAAACCTGACGATCTTCACGAAAAGCTTCACCAATCAAAGAAAAGAGTCAGAAATCAAATGCTCGGAATAAGTATCGAAGCATCATCGATGTGAAAATAAATCACAATCAAAATCTCAAGCGCATCTGTATATCGCACAATAAACCTGCGTAAGACTCAAATCTCAACAAGCAAAGGTGAATTACCAATCTCAAATATAATCGGATAATCGGGATTTAATTCCTATAAAAAATTACAAATTTTTATATTTGATTTTATTATTTTTTATCATGTGGACAAAGTTCAAAAACATAACAATTCACCAAATTTTTAAAAGAAATCACAAAAAGGAAAAATAGGCCCAAGGGGGTTGCAAACTGGAATGCAGGAGGTTTGCTGAAGAAGTATGGCGCTGAAGGCCCATCATTCAATGTCTAATAAGCCAATTGCTTCAGCCAAAAATCAATTAAAAAAAATAGTTCCCGGCCTCAATGATGTGCAACTCAGTCCAATGACCACACTCAACACAACTGCCAACAAGCCCAAGTCTCCATGGTCCAACAAATCCAGTACAGCAGACTAATTCACTTTTTTGTTTCAGTTTATTGGAAAAAAAATAATTGACAGCAGAACAAGACAAAAAAAAAATTAATCATTGGAAAAGAGGGGTTAGGGTTATACATTGCCTCTTCCACTTCTTCGTAAAACATTGATATGTGCTCTTCTCCTCTCTTGCGTTGCAGAAACTCTGATCAACTCGATGGAGCCTTCTCCGTCTCACTCTCTCCGTCAAACATCTAAATCTTCGCCTCAACCTTCTTTTGATTTGTCTCAATATCGAGTTCAACTATCTCCTCTGTTTCTGATATGTACAATCGCCCTCACTTCAACATTGATACGAAGTTTCAGCCTCCTTTCAACAACTTCTTCACTGAGTTCCATCTCAGCTTATCTCAACAGCCGCGGCTTCAACGTAGAGCTTCACCTTCTTCAATTTTGTAAATTTTATGTGCGTCAATGTTGCTACGTGTGCGAATCGTCATTGGTTGTTGACTGTCGATGATGATGGTTGAACGTTGCAGAGAGGAATTGTTGGAAATATTGAATAAGATCGAAGCAGAGAGAAAGATGGATGTAGAATGGTGAATCGATGAGAATGAAATGCAGTTAAAGAATTGAGAGAATACAGAGAAGAATGGTGAGTTTTCTATGTGTTGAATTGATGAATCTGATTCTCGTAGTGTTGCAAATTGTCATTGATATTAAAATTTGGTGTGGAATCGTTGATGTTCTGGTTGTTGTAGGTGATGAAGTGTAGATTGAAGATTGTGATCTGATGCAGGTGATGAAGTGTCAAAGATGCTGATGGTAGCCTTTGTTTCAGAAGCTTGAGAGAGGTTGAAGAACAATGAAGGTGATGAAGACTGAAGATTGGGAGATATTTTTCTTGTGTTTTTAGTGATGAAGGTGAAGATAGAGAGTGAATGCAAGGAGAGGAAGAAGAGATAATTTCAGAGAACTTTTCTAGTATTTTTATTCTGCAGAATATTGAAGATTGATGATGATACGAGAAGATGGTGGAAAAAGGTTGACGAAGATATAGATATTGAAGAATGATATATGTAAGAAGAGAGGAGAATAAAGAGTTTTCTGGGTTTTTTTTTTAATTCTGTAGAATGAATCCAGTCGATCTATCAAAGGTGAGTTTTTCTCTTATAATTTTGTTATGGTTATGAAGATAGTTAGAGTTGAATCAATCTGAACTGTTAATGTGAATGTTAGTTAGGGATTTTTATGGATGAGATTGGAAGTGATAGTTAGTTAGGAATTGGTTAGAGATGTCTATGAGCTGGCAAAATTTCTATTATAAATTGGTTGTATGAGCTGGTAAATTCTGTTACATATGCTAGAATTTCTAAACTCACCTTCTGATTCTATTTTTTTATGCGTACATTAAGCTCACAATTGATTTATATCTGGTGACTGCATAATGAGATGAAATTATATTGTTCTTGGTTATTGGCTTTAAAACTTTTATTCCGACCGAAGCATACTGTCACAACAGATTGTTATAAAAGGAATGGGTGAGATGGATTTGATAAAGGTTAGCTACCTATCTTTTAATTCAGTTATGGACAATTAGGAGTTTAGTTATAGTTTGGAAAGTTAATTGGTTTTGTTATAGGGATTAGAGTCGGTTGGTAGCTAGGAGATTATTTGGGAAATTGGTTAGAAGTTAGATGGTTCTAAAACTCTGTTATTTTCTATTATGCTGAGCTGGATTTCCGTTATTCTAATTGCACGGTTTCTTTTTTAGTTCCTGATAACTGGACTCGTCTTTTATTTTCCTGTTAGTTTGACAGTTAACTTTCAGTTCTGACCTACTGTTATTTTTTCCATTATTCTCTGTTTTTTTTTTCTTCTATCACCTTTTCTAATTTAAAATTGATGCACAGTGTTGAAACAAGGGTTAATTTATTGATGAATGGATATTAGTATTTTTTTCATTCTGATATCTCTTAATTGAATTTCTGATATTCTTTCTTGAATTTCTCTTTTTATAAGTTGAGCTGCTGATTCTGATCTTTCTTTCCTTTTTTTTTTGCAAGATAACTTCAATTTTCGAATTGGTTTCAGATGGCTGTTAATCGTATGCAGCATGCAGGTTTGACGTTGAGGGTGAGAACCAAATTGCAAATTTACCTAGATCATGGAGGACTTGAAGAGAATTGAAGAAGTATTAGATGTAAACGGAGAAGTTATTGAACAGTCTGGAAAAGAAAACATGAAGAACACTGAAGATGAAGATTAGTGTTAGGGATAGGCATATATTTATGTAGTTTTTTCCATGTATTTGATCCACTTTGAATGTAACCATATACCATTTCTTTTCCTTTTGAAAATGATGATGGAATAATGTTTGTATCCTTCTTGTAATGGCCTTGATGTGAATGAATGTATTTTCGTATAACTTGAATAATGTCTTGAATCATAATGGGCTTAGACGAGTGAGAGCTTATCTTGTTCAAAAATGTTTGGATGAATCTTTGTAAGAACTCTTGTGGAAATATTGAACAAAATCTTGGAATTCATGAATGAATTCAATCTTTGAATCAACCGCTAGCGAGTCATGATCTTAGCTTTTCATACCATCTGAACGCATTAGGAGATTTATACGAATGGATATTGTTGCAAAAGAACTTGATGATGTACGTCGTGACAACCATATAACACCCTTCCAACTTGATCCATTTTTGAACATTTGAAATCATGGAGTCACTTTGCCTTAAGTAATTACTTGAATGAATAATGAACCCCAATTCAATCTGTAAATTCAGAGCAATTAACACAAATGAGAACAAATAAGACTTTGATCATGAGAAACCATCTGATTATGAAGCCTATAGAGAAATAAATCATGATTCAAGAAATCCATCGGATCAAATGCCTTTCCAATGAATGAACTAGCCACAATCATTTGTTTAAGCACCAAACACCCTGTTGTACTCAATGAGGAAAGAGTCATTGGTAGACAGACTTCATGCCCTAATCTCACACTTCAATGTTCACATAAAGAACCACGTGCAACAAAAGAATCAGACTGTACGTGTTATAGAAGTCTCAATCCATATGAAGCCCTAATATACAACCCACTGATCTTTTGAACCTCATGCACCTTATTAAATGAGAATGTATGTTATGTTAACACATACGACCTAATGGAAAGATGCATAAGTATCAATTAGGAGGGAAAATTTTGGGGTGCAACACATACATTCCTCACACACCTCGTTTAGAATGTCGATTTCTAGTAATCTTGAAACCATATTTCTTCTTTTCAAATCTATGATGTCTCTAAAGTTGAGATGGCCAAGTCGATAGTGCCATATCCATTCATCTTTGCTATGCATTTGTGCTCCATCACATTTAGTTCGATCTTAAAGGTTCTATTTTGAGACATGAGAGCCTTCAAGATTAACCTTCCATTTGTGTCGAAGACTCTCATCATCTTGTCTTTGAACGACACTTTGTAATTCTTTTCGACCAACTGACATATGCTGAGAAAATTGCTCTTTATGCCTGGTATGAACAACACATTGGAAATTACTAACTTCTTGCCATCTTTTCTCATAATCAGAATGTTTTCAATACCTTCGACTGATAGAGTATTGTCATTTGCAAATTTCACCTTGTTCTTCATTGACGGTTTTAGGTTAATAAACCAATATTTTCTTCCAGACATGTGTGATGAGCATCTTGAATCCAAGTACCATTGGTCCTTGAATATTTCTTCATATCTTGTTGTAACCATCAGCACCATCTCTTCTTCTTCATACTTTGCGAATTTGGCATCACTAGAATAATGACCATACTTCTAACAATGGAAACACCGAATGTGACTCTTGTCAGGCTTTCGACCATTACCTCTTCCTCTATTTGCAACACCACCTATTTGGTTGCCTTGTGTGATACGGTGGGAACGAACTGACTGTTTTTTGGAATGCTGGTTTGTGTTTTGCGTTTTGTATTTGCAAAATGTCGCGGTAAGCAAGAGTCGCCACCGACTTTTATTTTATCCAACAAGGAAAGGAAAAAAGCACAGAAAAATTCCTTTTTCGAGATATTTCTCGGGTTCGGGGGTAGATTATAGAAAGGGAAGGTATTAGCACCCTTTCTATCTGTGGTTATCCATGGGCTCTTAGGTACTTGCTCATATTGTTTTCAAAATTTGCTTTTCTTTGTGCTTGTGGGTTTGAAAAAAGTTTTTGTTTTGAAACTTCGATTTAACTCTTGCTTCTATCCTCATGAGCGTATGAAGTGTTTTTGAAAACTTTGTTCGAAAAGTGTAAGTGTGAAAAAGATTTTGTTTTTTGAAGGAGAAAGTATCTAAGAACCATCTACCTACTCGAAAAAGGAATCGTTCTATTCTATCTTCCTTTAGACAATTCTATCCTACTATTGATGAGTAGGTGGCACCGTCGTTGGAGTTTGAGGGTCAATTCGAATGAGGGACGTGTGGTCACTAAAGCAATGTTAGGACGCCTTAGCGGTAACCCTAATGTCTTAGATCATTTGTTTTAAGGCAACAATATCCGAGGCAACCATTTCGAGGCGACTATGATCTTTTAGACAAGAGGACGACGTCTAAAGTGACCTATACTCAGTGACCGCGTATGAAGGCAACCAAGTGGGGTGTACCCTAAGAGTGCGCATGTGCGAGTGTGTCGTTTTCAGTTATTTTTGTCTTTGTACATGTTAATGGTGATCTAATTTGATTTTAGGTTAAAACATTCAGTCTTGTCATGCATCTCCTATTATCAAACATCTAACAGTTATATTTTGCGGAAAATAAATTGCGGAAATTAAATTACAAGGCGTCGGGTATTTACATCTCCAAAAGCAACCCTTTGAAATTTAAATGCGAAAAAATAAATAAAGCGATAAAAATAAATAAAGGTCCTATTTACTATTACAAACCGGAATCAGATACATAATATGATAAAAAAAAAAGTAAACCGCGTACGGGAAAGTAACTCGAGCGCAAAGTTAGGGTTTTGACCCTTTTGGAGAGAAAGTATCTTTTTTTGTTGTTTTTGAATTAAGAAAGAAATTACCTAAGTTAATTACTAAATTAAATTAAAATTAATTAATTAATAAGAAAATAAACTATTTTTGGATTTTTGGTATTTAAAGAAATAAAATAAAATAAATCAATGTTAGTAAAAAACCTAATTAAGTCTAATTAGTTTTAATTATTTACAAAAAATATATTAAAGTTATTTCTAATTAATAGCATAAATTAATTAATAGATTTGTTAATAAAAAAAATAAAATACTAAAATTTAATTTGATAAGGAAAATGTTTTTTTTGTAGTTTTAATGTTATAAAAGAAAAAATTTGATTGGTTAGGAAATAAATAAAAAAATAATTAAATCAAATAAACAAATAAAAAAATAAAAAATAGAAAGAGAGAAAGGGTATGGGCCTGAAAAGGGTGGTTTGAGAAGCAATTTGAGGCCCATTTGCATTGGCCCTGGTTGACTTCTGAGATTCCATGTGCG